AAAAAAGAAAAAAGCGGAAGGTGTCCTCTGCTAGTGTGGAAGCCTGTGTAGTTAGCAATTCCTACTTTTGAGAAAACTGCACACGAGAATTTGGTCAAAGCCCTTAAATTTAACGAAGTACTCTATATAAAAATAAATATTTTACAATAAACCAATAAAGACCAATGTGTGGTGATTAGTGACCATTAGTTGATGATTATTCGGAAATTGTGAGATGCGGTCTGGTGTGACGTAGGTTTTAGAAAAACATTTTCTTTATCGTGTCAACGTTACGATCTTTATTGAGATCATCTGCAGGCCCCTGAAGGGCACTGTCAACACGACACACAAGAATGGCACAATTACGCAGAAAACAAACACTTTGAGCCCTGAAGATGATCTCAATAAAGATCAAAACGTTGACACGATAAAGAATATGTTTTTCTAAAACCTACGTCACACCAGACCGCATCTATTTCCGTATAATAAAAGACCAATATTGGGCGCGTTGCTAAGTTAGGAGTTAAGTAAAGAGGTTGGCTCTTTTCAATCTTAATCTTAACCTAAAACTTGGATAATGACGCTTGACTTTAGATTGGATAAAAACGACATAACGATGTAGATGTCTGGAAAAGATTTTTTACTTTGCATAGTAGTCTGGTATAAAAAAACTTATCAAAAATTTGTTCAGTGATGATGCGAACGTCCTTTTCTTCATTATGATAGTGATATGTTATATCTATTACTGTATGCAATTACGGGTTGCTGAATTTTTTTTTCGAAAACCATTAAAAGTATAGAGAATGGATAGAGAGAAAATGTTGGAAAAAAGAGGAGGCTGTGTGTAATAATTAATAATAATTTGGCACGAGTATTGAATGTATATTTGAAATGCTGTAAATCCTGTTTTATATTTTGAGTCATGAAAACTAGACTTTCTATTGGAAGGAATGGTAGTAGTTGTTGTGGAAATCTGTGTGCTCCTTAGCTTTTTCAGTAAACAAATGGTTGGTAAAAAATAACGGCTAAAGATCTGTGTAAGGGACCTGTTGTGATTAAAAAAAAAAAAAAAAAGTATATATAAAATGATTACTGAAAAGTAATTAATGTTAAAGAAAACAAGTAAAATGACCATCTTAATAATCATTTAATTAAGTAATAGCTGTAAGAGGTTTATACCGTGAACAGCAAAAACACACAAACAAATGATCACAACAGGTTGGTAAAAAATATTTAAATAAATAAAGACAAGCTTTGTGAATTACAACAGCTTAAATGTATGATATATAACATATGTTTTAACAAGAATATAGATTTATTCCAAACATGTTTTCAGCTCGTGTCAAGTTTAATGTCCAACAGCCAGGAGACCAATGAAACTAACACCAACGAATCGCTGGCGCCGAGCGAAGTGCCGAGCGAAGAAGTGACGACGGATTCCCTTTCCGCTATTCTCCGTTTTTATAAATTGGAAAGGATAAAATTTTTCCTTAAAGTTTACGGGACACTTTTTTGTCAGATCGCCTTCGACGTCCTGTTCTGCTTCCTGACCCTTATGGACAAACGTGTCAACGCTTTTGTGAAGAAACACTTCTGGTCGGGATTCGTTTCGGTCAGCCTGTTCGCCATCACCACCGTACTTCTAATGTTCTGCACCCGGCTCTCGCAAAACTTCCCGATCAATTTAGTCTGTCTGTTCCTGATCGGAGTCTTCAGCTGCTGGACCCTGGGACTGATCGCAATGAGCTTCGACGCGTTGCCGGTGGTCTGTTCATTGATCGCCTCCGCTGGGATAATACTGATTTCTACACTCTCGGTCGCCTTGTCGCGATGTGAAATGCGCAGCCGATTCATGACATGCCTCTTCATCGTCGTCATGACCACGGTAATACTATGCACAGCTGTAGTCTATGCTTTTTACCTGAAATTAGAAGTGTTCCAACCCTTCTTTGGTTGTGTTGCGACTCTCTGTTCATCCGCGTACATATTTTTGGTCACCTTGATGGTAATAAAAAGATTCTCCTTTATGCCGTTAGAATGGATATTTGCCTATTTATTGCTTTACACTGCAATACCAACGTCATTTGTCCACAACCTTTTGACATTCGATTGGATTTTCTTTTAAGAAGATTTAACGTATCATCTGATTTGATTAAAAAGATAATTGTAAATTAAAACATATGCAAACATTTTACTTAAAAATCTGTTATATAAGCTCAATAGTTAAAAATGTAACAATGTAAAATGGTTAGGAATGGTTAATCTTCTTATTTTAATACTAACATAAGTACATTGAATTAACTTAAAACAATGTATGTTCAACCGTTGGTATGGTATGGTAGAAAAGGATACTAGAAAGCGGGGTTTGTACTCCTCCGTTAAGGTCAACAGTATAATAGTGAAAAACAAAAACGGCGTAAAAAAAGAAAACTTATTACACAACTTTTATTGAAGCATACAATCGTACTGAGGGCAAGAAAATGCCAAAAATGTTTAAATTTTTTAAGTAAATAATTGCAAAAGTTATAATTTTTATTTTTGTTTTTATTGGATATTTTTAAAAAAAATTCTATAGTTAATTAAAAAAATTAAATAAAAAATTAAATTAAGTTAAGCTGTTTTACCAGAAGTGTTTCTTCGGAAAAAATGAAGAAAATTTTCAATTCAGTACAGATTATTTTCTGCTCTTTGGTGGATCACCAGTTGCATTCGATGTGGCGTCAATTTTATGAGGTTTATTTGATTTATCTCTTGATTCCTGCAAATTCTCTGGCATCATTGGACGACTATTTACCCCATTTGACAATTCGTCCCAAAAGAGTTCGACTGGGTTAAAATCGGGAAATGCTCTCCAAACATTGAATCGAAGCCCGTTCCAAGTAGTCACCAAAGATCCTAGCTGTTTAGGATCTTGCATTTTCATGCGTAAAAATAAAACCGTCGTGATATAGTGACATATGAGTAACAACTACTTTGGACACTTTATAATACATCTTCAATGTATCGCGCAGCTGTTAGGGAACCCTCGATGAAGATCAAGTTTTTGCTATCTTCCAGGATGCCTGCCAAACCATTGCACAACCCCATACCTTCTGGAGTGAAAATGTTTCGGAGAAATATCGTTCTCCTATTCTCTTATAAACCCTCACTCAACCCTCAGAAAACAGCTGAAACCTTGACTCATCCCAAAACAAGATTTTATTCCAATCTTGCTTATCGAATTGATGTTATTTCTTTCGAAAGCTGTACTGTGCTTTGTCAGAAGTTCTGGACCAGTGTATTATGTGTCTTCTCGCACATAATCCCGCTTCTGAAATTCTTCGCGTTTCAGTGCTTAAACTGAAGTTAAAATTTCTAACTTGTATAAGTCTCTGCTTGATCTCAACACCAAAGTCGATTACGGAATATATTCTAAACAACAACACGGTCATCTCTCGGAGATGTGACGGGATAGCGTCCTGGCCCATGAATTCTTTAATAACGCCTAGTATCTTGGTAGCGATGGAAGACCCTTCCGACAGATGTTCTGTGAATGTTGAACACCCTAGCCACATAAACATGACTTCTTCCATAATCCAACAATGATATGATTCTAGCCGAATCTGTATTACTTAAAACCATCAATCAAAGAAAATTGAAACTTAAAAATGGTAGAACTTAAAATAATCAAACCACAAGAACGTCAGAAAGAAGCTGTACAGAAAAAAAAAAAATGAAGCGATTGAGCGTTCAAAGATTAATTCACAAAATCCAACTGTAAACATAAGTGGGACATTTTATCTTATTTATACCTGAAATCCATTAGAACCGGACAAATATAATAAGAAACAAGATTTGACATTTCCTCACTGAAGATGTCGCAATGCCGAAATGCGATTGAATAACTCAAACACACGCAAGTTGGGGACATTTAGAAGTGAACATGTGTAGGTTCAACACGAATTAAACCTATTTTAATAGTCGAATGTACTAGATTAAATTTCAAATTAAAAAATAACGTATGTCAGAAAATAGGCCCCACTTTTAAATCTACCCGAAATAAGAAAGAAAGTTGATATAGGTAGCTTCTTCATACAAGGCTTGACATAATTTATTTATGTAATAATGGCAATAACAACATTCCCTATTAACATTAACTTTCCACGTAAAAGCCGAAATTGCTTTGAGTTTAAGCAATAACGGCAGCCACTGCTGAGAGTTCTAATTAAATATCATTTTATAGAGATGTCCCAAATTAAAGTTCGATGAAAATATCTCTCATATTTTTTCATCATTTTTATAACATTTATAACATCCTATTTTATAAACTTTACCAACCGATATATTTATTTGGCAAAAACATTTTGACGAATAGATTAAAATAAACTATGTCATTAGATAATTTCAAATGGTGATCAGATTTACAAAAAGTGTGAGATATGGATAAATAGATAGATTAGGTATATACAAAGAATAGCATGATAAATGCAGAAGAGAGAAGAAGGAGAGTGAGAGAGAGACAGAGAGAGAGAGAGGGAGGGAGAGAGAGAGAAAGAGAGAGAGAGAGAAAGAGAGAGAGAGAAAGAGTTAGTGAGAAAGAGAAGGTATGTGGGTGTGTCAAAATAGAACAATTTCACACAGTAATAGACAGGGAAAGATGTAAATTCATAAAATAGACAGGGAAAGATGGAAAGTCATAAAGTGGTTAGAGTAAGATCCAGAGAAAAAGAGAGGGTGATAAGGAAGTAACTGTACACGATATTACATAAAACGTGAGTGAATGAGAACTAGAAAGAAAGACAGTGAGGTTGAGGGAGAGGGGGAGAGGGAAAGAGCGAGAGCGAGAGAGAGAGAGAGAGAGAGAGAGAGAGAGAGAGAGAGAGAGAGAGAGAGAGATCCGGCGTGAAAGTGTTGTGTAGAGAAAGACAAAGTACAAGGACGAGACAATAACAAAGAGTAATATAACAGAAAAAAACGAAAATAAACGTTAGTTCAAAAGTTAGATAATTAGATAAACCGATTTTCACACAAAAATTTGAAAGGAAACGTATGTAACGCGAAATTGAAAAAGTCACGTTGTTTATCCTTCAATTTTAAAATCGGTCACGTTTAATTTTTCTCTTCTATAATCTTTAAAAATACAAAAGAATATCTTAACTCGGAAAATGAACATGTTTAAAATTGGTTTTTTTCTCGTGTATGTTCTCTATGTTCGGGTTTGAGATAACAGCCTTTCTGAAGTAGCAAGAAAGGAGAAAATGTAGTGTTCTGTGTATAAACAAAATGAGACCGAAATGGTTTCGAGGGGATTTTAGATCGGCTTACGTGACCTTAACATTAACTTCTCGTGTTCATGTCTCTTCATTTTCCCCCTTCGGGCACGAGTACGGAGTCGTAATTTAACTATCAGATTTATAACACTGCCTGTGGCAAGAATCCTAAATACTGCTCTCATCACTGCATATATGTAAGTTTGTTTGAGATATCATATTTTGTAATTTAAAAAAATAATGTTGTTGTTATAAGGCAATATTCTTAATATCTAAGTTAAGTAACGCAATTTTCCACATATGGGTTAAGTTTTTATCAGTATAAACAGGTGGAGAATCCTAGCGTTTTAAAATTTCCTATAGTTTTTCATATCCAGGTAAGACGGATTTTTGTGGACTAAGAGGCCTGAAAGGAAATGGCCATAAGCAGCAATCACTATTACATCTGCTCTCTCCGTTCCCAGATGGATCCATACTATATTTTTGAATAAACGATTAGTGTGAATAAATGAAAGCTCTCAGCAGGTCTATCTTTATTGGTCGCTTGTGAGCCACTTAGACGTAATGTGCTACCTCGAACCTCGATTCAACTTATTTGACTAAACATTACTGCATTTCAATATATATTCAATATAAAATACAAAAATTAATTGAACACAATTTCTTACTTCATTTATGAGCCAAACAAACTAAACACATTGTTCATCCAACAAAAGTTAATTATTCTAATATATTTTATAAAATCTATAAGGCTATATTTTGACCATATATATCTCATTTGACACATTACAACATTTACGTTCTAGTATTCAGTTTTTCAGTTTAAATTTTTTATACCTTGGTGTATCTTTTCGTCGCAAAATTTCGGCACTCATCTCATCTATTTTCAAATCGGTCGGGTAGTCGAGGTTGATCATCCGTCTTTAAATTAGATTGTAGCGAGATAGCTTAATAACAGGAAGTGGAGGATGTTAAATGCATTTCCGCATGGTGAATGAAAGTAAGGACTGGCACAAGGACACTTTCCCTTTTACCATCCACGGCGTCCTTAATCTGCTTATGCGGACGAGAACTTTCTATTAGGCCGATTCCATTTTAATGGGAGCCATGATAGGATTGACAACCATTTTCACTATTGCCGTCTATTCCTCCCGGACTTTCGTAAAATTCGAAGTCTCGAGGAAGTTAGTAGTTTTGAGTTGTTTTTGAAACTAGCGGACGGCGAAAGCAGGCCTCCGACATGCAGCCTACAACACGATTATAGCCTTGATAAGTAGAAAAATACTCAGTTTACTACTCTCTAATACTCAAAAATAAATAGATACCCACCGTGAGAATTTTGTGTCACAATTTTCCCATAGTAAAACAGGTTTCAAACCAACTTTTCTAAAATGATAGAAATTATAAATAAAAAAACTGGAACAAAAACTATTTCAAATTTTCCAGATTTCAAAATTTTCCTTTGTTTCTGACTTTACAAACGATTTACTTTAGACATGTTAAATTCAATACTTGCATTCTACTGATGGTTTTGTTAATTAGAACCTTTTGGGAAGCTGGAACACAGTTGTTGCATGAATAGTAGATTAAGATAAGATTTGTACATATTCACTAATTCCGTGGTCCGCTTGACCAATTAATATATTACAAATAATTAAGGTTTTTTAGCTGAGATAAAAAAGTCAATGGCACGAGCGGGATTCGAACCCACGATCTTCGGCTTGATAGGCCGTTGCTCTACCATTTGAGCTATCGTGACCTCGATCCACTCGGACACCAACTTCCCATCTCAACCGCACCTTTTGAATTTTCCCTCCTTTTTGCCATTTTTCAAATGTCGTGTAATCGCGTTGGATTCTCGACGATAAATGAAATGGCCATTAAATTCACTAATTTCGTGGTCCGACCAATTAATATATTACAATTAATTAAGGTTTTTTTAGCTGAGAAAAAATTAATCCCATTGACTTTTTTATCTCAGCTAAAAAACCTTAATTATTTGTACATATTGTACATTACATAACATCACATATTGTAATTGTTTCTTCAAATTATTCCAAAAGATGAAATTGCAATGAGGGCCAGGACCAAAGTGGCCCAAAGTTTGTTACACCTTGTCTTGCTTGTCTGGGACGAACTACAAGTTCGGAAAACGTGTCAGAGAGGGGCTACGTGACTATGGAAATTGGTAAACGATATTGTCAAAATGTATAAAATATGTCTATTGATGCTGTCAGATTTTTTTCCGATCATTGAATTTTATAGAAAACGTTTCCGAAGTAAACACCATTCACAAAAGATCAACAGAGAGATTCAATATTTTCAGTTTAACTTTACTTTATTATACTACTGCGCATCATTTTTCTTACACTTTCTGACAAAATTGATTATAAAACGTTTCTGTTCGAAAAATAAGTTTTTTTTAATCATTAATACTAATGAGTAGGGTTACATAAAAGGCCGTCTGGGACGCATGCAAACTCTATGATTATAACGTAACCCTGACAACCGTCAAGATTAAAGAGGGACGGAATCAATACTAAATCGCCTTTAAGTCGGAAGCGTATCCGTTAAATTCGTTCATTGGGCCGTTTCAAACCAATCTCACCTAGCAAACTCAATTTCCCATTGGATTATATGCATAAAAAGCTTAACGGTCGCCTGTTTTCTTCTAGCTTACGTCAGCTTCGACTGCTGAGACTTAGGTCTAAAGAGCCTCGAAGAAATTGAATATCAAAACTCCCGACTCGAACATTCAGAATCTAGATAATGTCAGTGTACGTCTGTGTAAATAAAAAAGGGATGTATTTCCCGATCTTTCGAGTTAGAATACACAATTATCACAATGTTTGTGCCATAGAAATTCTTAAATGAAGTTAAACTGACACAAACTCCTTATGACATCAGAAGGTCAAGCAGACGTAATAGTTCAATCACGTAAAAATATCATGTCTCAATTAGACTGTGAATGTACATAAAATCTCCAAAACCTGAGAGAACAGAACAACGTGACAATATACAGTATGCCAAGACAGAAAGTATATCTGGGAAACGAAAAATCAGATAAACTGGCCAGATGAGGATCTGAAGGACCTATATGCCCGGAATACTTAGGGTAGTGAATAAAGAACTTATCCAAGATGGCGAATACATCACTACATATAAAAAGAAAAGAAATAGGACTAAAACTAGAGTGGTTACTTTTTTGCCCGTCAATGAATATTTGGTTTTTAGCACTGCATGAGTAAGCATAAAAGGTTACTAGTTTTCACACGTCAGGTTAAACAGTTGAGATACAAAAATGCTTGTGTTTTAGATATAATAATATTTTTTTAACTGGACAAAATAAACTGTAACCATCACTTTTGCAAATGATCCATAACAATTAAATCTTACAATACTCTTTTTATTAAATTCACTAATTTCGTGGTCCGCTTGACCAATTCATACATTACAATTAATTAAGGTTTTTAGTTAAGATGACAAAAAGTTAATGGCACGAGCTGGATTAGAACTCACAATCTTCGGCTAGATACGCCGCTGCTCTACCACTTGAGCTATCGTGGCCTCACTCTTTTTATTGTATTCTTTAACAATGAATTCAAGATAACGTGCTTTATAACCTTCATGTGCTAAACCATATTACGCAATCTTGTTAATTTAATTAGGGAAGATACCTGTTTATTAACAAAATTATGTTTTATAATAAGGTTTAAATGGCGAGGTTTCCGATGAACATCATGCCAAACTAGGTGGGATCGTAATTACATCGCTAAAGAGCTACGTTCCGCCTAATTTACGCCGAAATTACGTTCATAACCCATTGCTTGTTATTTTGTTTGGTAGAATATTTTCATTTAGTCATCTTTACTGCCTAATTAATGGCCAATTTTGAGAATCAGTGTCGATTTTAATATTTCTGCACCTGGTACTTTACAGCAGTATCCATATTAAATATATTTCAACTTTATGTTTACAAGAATTATTTAAACACTAATTTTTCATATCTTTATTAGTTAAAAAGTTACCGAAATTGTTTATACTTAATTATGCTTTAACGAGTGATTAAAGCCTTGTTCGCATTGTAGACTTTGTATATTATAATTACATTTCCCAAAGGAAGGATCCATTTTAGGAAAATGAATTATTTCGTTCTATACAAATCGTTATCAAAAGTTCGCGGCGGTTAATGGGGAAATAAAATAGCGCTTCAACAGGTGAGCCATATGAAAGTAAAGCACTCGAACCGAGGGGAGGGCGAGCAAGTTATTCCAAGCATAGAGACCTGGTGCCCTATATTCCAGGGAGCGAGTCGCAAAACACTTTCCTATTGTTCAAAGCCCGAGATCAAACAATACAGGTACAAAGCTCGGCCCATTAAAAGAGCGTGAGATTGCTCAATCTAGTGTTTCCGCGTACAAAGACCTGTTCCACAGCAGGCTTTCTTAATGGCAACTTCAAACTTCACAAACTTAATTGTGCGAAACAGTTTAGCGGCTATAGGCCATTAGTCGGATTATTTAATTGTGGCTAACTCACCGTCGTTTATGTATACATAATAAGGCGTCAACATATTTTAATCAATGATTTTGTTTCCTTTCTCTTTCCTTACTGTATACGTAAACCGAGTTATAATCAAAATACTAAACAAATTATACATAATATAAATTTAAATAATAAATTTTGTTAAAATGTACTAAACCCCGATATTTCATTTGATAAGAAAATATTTCACCTGATCCTCCCAAAGAAAGAAAACCAAATTAAATAAAAATCGATTCGGTTTCGTGGGTTCTTCTTTTCATTCTTTTCAATTAACTAATTTTTAAGTAAGGTATTGATTGAGATAAAAAAAACCCACAACCTTAGGCTAAATACGCCGCTGTTCTAACCACTTGAGCTATCGTGACTTCGATCCACTCGGACAGCAACTTCCCATCTCAACCCCACCTTTTGAATTTTCCCTCTATTTTGCCATTTTTCAAGATCGAGAAATCTATTTGATTCTCGGGGACAAATGAAATGACCACGGATAGCTTTAGTGAATTATAGTTCATTTTGTGTATTAAAACGATTAGGTTGCGTAGTCCGATTGACCAAATAACATCTTTCAAATAATTAATCTTTAAGTAAGGTATTGGATGAGATAAAAAGTCAATGCCACGAGCGGGATTCGAACCCACGACCTTAGGTTAAATACGCCGCTGCTCTACCGCTTGACCTATCGTGACTTCGATCCACTCGGACACCAACTTACCATCTCAACCCCACCTTTTGAATTTTCCTTTTTTTTTGCAATTTTTCATACGTCGTGTAATCTATATGATTCCTGGCGACAAATGAAATGGCCACGGATAGCTTTAGTAAAGTACAGTTCATTTTGTGTATTAAAGCTATTAGGTTGCGTAGTCCGATTGACCAAATAATATCTTTCAAATAATTAATCTTTATGTAAGGTATTGGATGAGATAAAAAGTCAGCGTCACGAGTGGGATTCGAACCCACGTCCTTAGGCTAAATACGCCGCTGCTCTATCGCTTGACCTATCGTGACTTCGATCCACTCGGACACCAACTTCCCATCTCAACCCCACCTTTTTTAATTTTCCCTTCTTTTTGCCATTTTTCAACTTTCGACTCTGACTTTTTTATCTCAACCAATACCTTACTTAAAGATTAATTAATTGAAAAGAAATTAAATAATACTCTTGAAATAGTACATCGGAAGTTTTATATTTTTAATTAGTACTTGTCCATTTGATCTCTTTGTATATTTTAGTCAACATGTTGCACGTTACAATTAATGTAACTAATGAAATAAAACTGAAATCATTTTTTATGCCCGAAGCGTTTTCAATAAAAATCAATTTTTCCTTAAAATTGTTGTATTCTTTATTATTTTATAATTTACCAACTATAATTTTGTAAAATAAGTGTATTGCTTATGATTAAAAATGCAAATTTATAACTTATGTTGATAAATTGTAAGTCTTTGAAAAAAGCCTTTACCACCTCAAAGGCTGTTTTACACGCAATACATAGCGGTGTTGCCGTATGGTATCACGCCGTGCTCAAGGCGGTAAATCGCGATTACGTCCCTAAGCCTGTAAATAAATTATGGGTGACGACATTGAGCCAATGATATATCAGTGACACAGTTATTAAAAAAATGCCGATAAACGGCAACTCTTTCTCGTCCTGAAAATATTAATTCTGTCTAAATAAGTTGGCAAGAATTGTACTAATAAACAGTTTATTAAACATTCGAGTGGATTTTTTGGAACTGAGATAAAGAAAAAAAAATTCTATCTTTACCGACTAGTAAATTCTAAGCCTCTAAATATTTTAAAGCAATTGTAAACCAACAAGGAAACACGATAAAGGAAAAAGTCGCAAATAAGTAAGAAAGTTAGGAAAAAATGTTAACACGACTACCACGGCACACTGCCGCTTTTCGACGGCTCGAAACTAACAACATCAATTACAAGGAGCACACAGACCTGCGTTTGCTCTCCCTTTGGCCCATTAATTATATATCACACTTGTGCACACTACCCTACCCCTTTCTAAAATATCAGCCCCCCCAACCGTTTCCAATTTTTAATAGAAGAGGAAAAACTAAATTCACCCATTATGTAACAACCTTCATAAACTTATTACTTTTCAATCCGACAGACTCAACATTTTCTGTCAAATTATATAATGATAATTGAACAATACAGCAAAAACTCAATTTTTTGTTTTTAAATTGTAACTACTGCACAAATTGAGAAAGATGTAACATTTTCTGAAAAATCCCGTCAAAACGTGCATGTTGATTAAGAAAACATGAAAATTATAAACAAAAATGAATTTCCTCACAAACCTGATTAATATTCATCATATGGGAATAATGATAAAACAACATTCGACACAATTTTGGTCGATATTAACAACTGGCAAATACAGATGTGTTATTTTGAAGGCTAACAATTAATTACCATTAACGCTTATATGGGTAAATATGTTAAGTGAATTGCAAATTTGGGCTCGAGTTATCTACGCTATTCTGCCCCTATTTTGCTCTGAGGCAATTATGGAAAACTGAATTCGGCAAATCAGTACAACAAAATATTATTAAATTAAAGTTGGTTTTTATATATACATAATATTACATTTGTCTCTTCATTTAAACATTTGTAAAATGTCTATCATGATTTAATGTGATTAATTATTTACTTATGATTTTTTTATGGTTTTAATAACTAACAAATTTTAAAACAACTATTCTGCCCCTATTTTCTTCTGAGGACAATATGGAAAACTGAATTCGGCAAAACAGTACAATATATATTCAATAAACAAAAAATTTATATTCACAATATATATTCGACAATACATATATTTAACGTGTGTTTTTATATATACATAATGTTACATCCTAATTTATCTTTGCATTTAAACCTTTGTAAAATCGCAATGATGTTTATCATGATTTACTAACTAACAAATTTTTTTAAAACTACTATTCTGCCTTTACTTTCCTCTGAGACAAATATGGAAAACTGAATTCGGCAAAACAGTAGAATATATATTCAACAAACGACAATATATATTTACAATATATATTTACAATATATATTAACAATATATATATTCTTTTAATGTGTGTTTTTATATATACATAATATTACATCCTAATTTATCTTTGCATTTAAATATTTGTAAAATGGCAATGATGTTTATCATGATTTATAGTGATTAATTATTTATTTATGATTTTTGTATGTTTTTAATAATTAACAAATTTTAAAATAACAGTGATTGGGACAAAGTAAGTTATTTTTAATTGAAACATAGTAATTGTCTTAGTCCCATAGGAACGATTTGATCCTGCCTAGCGGATATTTTTAAAGATATACTCTATGAGGATATTTTCACTTGGTTGTCAGGTAGGTAAATTCTAAGTAGAACATAATCAAAATAATGTCCCTTTCATAATTAGAATCATTACAAGCATTGGATGTTAGATAATTTAAAAAAAAATTAATTTCAATAAGGCATAAATACAGGTTTTGTTAAGAATTTTTCATTATTTTTAATCGCTGAATGCTTTCAGTGATCATTCGATTCTCGATGTGGTGCGAGAAGCAGTGAGTATTTTCAAATCAGCCAGGAAAGAAAGCTTTTGTCCTAATGGAGTCCCAGAAGGGAATTATGTTGGAAGGTTGCGGCTCCTCTGCTTTTTCCTTCCTTCTGGGCCTTAATGGCATCTGGAAACCAATAACCGCTCGAATCAACTAAGTGACGATTCAACATCAGGTGAGTATCAAATAAGACGGGTTTAATTACTTCCTATTTGCTATGAGAACGACGCGTGATTGATAAAAAGGATTATCCTCTGGGAATTCTGTACCATGTTTTAAACGGTCCAATGACTAAGTGTGTTCGTTGACAGATTAGGCGATACGACTGTGCGGAAAACAGAATGTTACGGTTATCCGAAATATTTTTCAACCTAAAATGTACACGCGAGATTCGCGGGAATGGCAGCGAAAGAGGACGTAAGAAAGATGGAACGAGCGAGCGAGAGAGAGAAAACGAAAGATAGATTGATGGATAGATAGATAGAAAAAAAACACTGTTTTAAATGGAAAAAACCATAAGGTTTTAATGAAACCTATACGTGATGAAAATATTTTATTTATGTATCGGTTTTTTATGATATATTAAAACAGTAAGAGTAAAATTGAACATCAAGAGTCAACAACAATGAAAAGAAAACAGTATTATAAACAGTTACTAAACTAAAATTATATTAACAGAACTCGATTTATTTGAGTGAATTTACCAGTTTTTTAATAAGGGAAACATTTGTGTCTACATGAAAACATGAATAAAACCTTAGTTTATATAAAATATTGGTTTATGTAAGGTTCCAATCTTCGTACAGGTCATTAGTATTTTTTCTCTATTTCGAATGTAAATATAATGCATGATATGAGTTAAAACGTTCCAAATTTTTTTTTGAAATGTTCCTTTGGTACAATAGCTAAAGGTCGTCCACGTACTTAGTTAAAACTCCTATGGTGTAAGGGAGTTGGAATACCAACCATTCTAACAAATCGGTCATCACCAAATCCAGAATTGGGGATAATACCCCTCCCATGGCGACACCATTTTTCTGCTTATAAACATCATCTACGAATTTAAAATAGCCAGTCATGGATGTGTTGGAACATATCTCAAAAGGTAAACTTGGAAAGCACTTTTCCAACTCACCCCATTTCTAATGTACCATATACGTGATAAGACTCAATGGCACTGAAGTAAATAATGATTCTACGTCAAAGGAAACAACATCATTTTCGGTTAAGGTTAAATTTTCGAGTTTCAAATTTAGCTCAAGTGGATTTTTCACAAACTTATTATTTAATGTTAAGCGGCCCATAGACGGTCAATATTATTGTACAACATAGTTTGCACAATAATGTGACAGTTGCCCCTTAACGTTCAATAATATTGTACAAAATTTTGTTTGTGCAATGAACTTGAATAGTTTGATATTGAAGTTTGTGCAATATTTTCCATTTGTTGATACTTCACAAACTGACTGATATTGCGCAATAATGCCAACAGACGGTGCAATATTTTCCAGGTTGTACAATATATTTTCAACTTTTCGTCAATCATGCTTTCAATTTCGTCTACACACGATCAATTAAATTGCACAACCCAAAATATTGAGCAATAATATTGATCGTCTATGGGCCGCTTTAGGACTACCAAAACTTCTTGTACCCATTTTGATAAATTGTAGGCAGGAGATTGAACACATGAAACAATAGGGCGAAATAGTACATCCGATTTATGGACTTTCGGGAGTTCATAGATTTTGGGCCGAACAGTTGTTTTTATGCAAGAGCCTTTTGCCATTGAAATTAAATTTACATTCACTGACTTAAGTTTGTTATTAATATTTGGTAATTTTCAGTAGGATCCTCACTCCAAATTTCATATTTATTTCTTTCCTTAAATATTTGTTACCAAAAAATATTTTTCCGATCAGAATGATTTTAGCATATGATTTTAATATTTTTTGTTTAGTATTGTTTTAATATGAAAAGCAGCATTATTTCCCTAGATAATTAAGCTCTATGATAATATAGCATAAACTATGATGAAAAATTTCAATTTTTCAAAGTATAAAGAACAATACACTAAATATTTAAAAGATGCTCAAACATTTTGGACGCATTCAATTTCATGTTAAATTACTGACAACTTCACATTTCTTGTTTATTATTTCGGTTTTATTATCTAATTTGTGTTAAACTAGACATAATGTTAATTTAACAACGTGATACGAACGGACACTTAAATATAAAAATTTAGATAAACTGCAAAAAAAATAATTTAGTCTACAATTTAACTGTACTATCAAGCATTTAATTTAAAATCGTTTAACAAATATTTAAATATGCAGTTAAACGAAAAAGTCTAAAAGAACTTGCTAAACTGAACCAAATTTAATTTATGCCGCCAGATTCAATAAAGAATTTTTATCGTCATAGAAAATTCTTTTAAACCATGAAACTTTTAAGACTATTTCTTAATCATGAAATTAAAATTTTGTAAACGAAATAATATTTATTATCAACTGAAATTATAACAAAAAACCGTCTTAAATTTTTCCAGTGGCCTCATAACGAAATGTTTATTAAGAAGAAGTGTAATAGGTGAATTAGGGAATTTTCTCAGGGTTAAACAATTTTTTATGTTCTAATTTAACCTGTATTACTTCCATTCTTTCTACCCCACTAAGGACGAAAAATTATAAAAATGCAAATTTACGGGGTAAACTTGATAACGTAAAAAAGTCCTCCATCTTCCAATTTCTTTAGTGATTTATTAAAAACCGCCGGCTTACAAATCTTTCACACCTCTCTGCCTGCATCCCCCAAATACTTTAACGTAACGGAATTATTATGATCTTAATTTATATTGTTCAAAGTGGTACTGGTTGCCATAAAAGTCAAATAAATAAAATTACAATAAAAACACATAGACGGTAGTTTGGTTTTTAAATTATATTTCTTTAAGTATATAAAGCAAAACAATAATTAGAAATAAACGATTTAAGCGTTGTTTTGATAAAATCGATTTTTACTTGGAATTTACTTAAAGTATTAAAAAAAAACTAAAACGCCTTTGATTTATCACTAACAACAACTTCATCTTTCTTTTCAAGCAAATATGTCACGTCACTGTTAATCTGATGTAATATTATTTATACACTAAATTCACGAAAGAATTTCTACTGCAACTCACGAATGCTTTTTGCTTTCCTTCTTGTGTAACTTTCATTACTCTTTCTCCAGGGCTGCCAATCATTTGAGTGTCAGGAAGATTGACGAGATGGAGAGATTGAGAGAAGGAATGAAATGCTTGCGTCAACAGGTCCCAACAAAGTTGTTATAACTCTCTTTTTCTGCACCATTTGCTTTAGAAGAAGTGGAACTTATTGATCTAGTATTTACTAACTAATTCACCAAATAAGAAAATAAAACGTAGCACTTCGTTAAAAAAATTATGTTAGAATTAAAAAAAAAACTTTAAAAAAAATTCATACTAGAAATATTACTTATGTTTCGTTTAAAACAGAATCAAGGTTAAATTTTTTAATTCTGTACATAACGATTTAAGAGCAAAAAAGAGGTAGTTTAATGATAACAGTGAATCACAAAATTACAATCTACGTTCATTTTTAATGGCAGTAGTTTTATTTCGACGCGTCTTTTGCTATTTCTGCCCGAAACTATCCTGTATCTTAAATATTAAGATTTTTTAACTATTTTACTATTTTTAATTTTTTAGACTATTCAGATTAATGATTATTTGCTATGTTAGTTATTCATTAATCTTTAAAATTACTTATTTTTGAAAAATCTTGGTTTAACGGCGACAGCGAATGGCCAAGTCGATAGTGCATTCGACGCATTTGGCACGATAACAGTTGTTAGTTCGGATCCAACAACTACTTTAACGAGACATTTATTTAAGATTCATTTAAACAAATATTACTTATAATAAAAGTGACATAAAGACATGTCATGAGACATAAGGCATGAGAACATAAATTTTTTATCTATTATAATTTTTAACCCTTACTACCCAACTGTTGCCAAGGGCCAACACCAATTTTAAATTGGCTAATGCATCTTTCCGATCGGTATGTATTTTTTACGATGTGCTTAGCCACATTCTATGATAAAGTTTTAAAGTCTTATCACATCAGGCACGCCTTTTAATAGGTTTCATTTCCGGTATTCACACCTTTCCAGTCAAGTGGGATTTTCTTTGACCTCCTTGGGCAAGTAAATTATTTTTTATATCAATTTTTAACTAACAGAAATTACGTTCGTAATTATCTAACATATAAGTATTGGAAAATGGCGAATTGGCGAATGTAAAATTTATTGGGAATGAATAACACCTTTTGAAACGCCTCGGGTCAACGTTGGGAGTTAAATGGAACGATTTCAGTTGTTATAAAATTTCCTTGAATTTTATTCTGTTATTATTTCTCTTATTCGTAATTTTGAAAAAATGAGGATTTTTATGGCTGTGTAGTTACGAAAAATTAAAGAATAATTATTTGATTAGAACAACTATACAATATACTAATGTTAATGAACATTTGTTTTTGTAGTTATTATAATTGTTCGTCTATGTTTTACGATGACGCTTATTAAAGCCCATTGGAGGGGAATGAGTGTTCAGAAGTTATTTACCAAATACTCGCCGAAAAGGGTTTAAAAAATTTCGATGGTGATGATGGTATAGAATACTAGATCGATATCTTCCTCGAGAAAAGAGTACCAATAAAATTTAGTCTATATTATCAGGTTAAACAGACCGATTTGTCCAGTTTTATGTTTGTACTTTATATTTGTATATTATTGTACATTGTATATTATTTGTTATTCAAAATCGCTATATCATTTTGTAACCCGATTTGTGTAATTGATACAAAAAAGTAAACAAATAAAAAATGTTATTTCATTCTCTTGAGCAACGCAGATCTCTTGTATCCGCAGGGTAAATTTTCACATTTTTAAAATAGTGAGTCACAAAAACTGACAAATAAATTCAACCATCTTGTGACAGCCTTACAAGATTTGTTTAATCAAATAATAATTTGAAGTTGAAAGGGTTGAAACTGGACAAACTAGTAAAACTATTAATATTACATTGATAGTCTACAGTAAATTAGTTTTTCCTCTCCGGAGGACGCCTCACCAAACTCCGCAAGAGGAAGCCCCCCGACCCACCCCGAAGCAGTAGATTAGTATTATCCACATGTCTTTACTAGTATATTTAATTTCATTCGGAAATCTGGGAAGCAGGTTCGTAGGGCTTGATCTTTTTAAGACGTCTTACAGAGTGTTGTTGTCCCTTTATCCAGCTTGCTGTGATGTTTGAATGCCCTGAGAGACGGGATTTATGCTTTAGGGCATATGTCGTAACCTCAGTAATGATGTCACGTATTCTTACATTATGATAATATCACTCTTCGTACATACACAGAGGCATCAACCATGTTCTTTGATTATTTGTTCTGTAATTTTTGTAACAGATTTACGTTACACTTTTTTCCACAGATCCACTTTTGTAACCATATATCTACATCTGCTTAAGGATTTGATTGTTACTATTTTTCTTCTGGATTGACAATTGGGGATTTATTCCAGAAAACAATCAGTTGCCTATTTTTAATTGAGCAAGTGTGTTTGGATAAATATATTTTTAAAACGTGAAAAATTAATTATGGAGGCCATCACCGTTTTTTGATAAAAATGGTAATTTCATAATTAAAACTGATTTTTGTAATTATTTTAACAGCGTCAGCCTCACGGGTGCATGAACGAACATGTATGCTCCTCTGCTAGTTGGACAAACTTGATTTTGTATGTCTCCCAGGTCACCACTACCCGAAAATTCTTTGTATGTAACGTAATTTTGTGAATTTTTAACGAATGCTTTATAAAAATAATACTTTATAGTTAAATTCAATAAATTTATAGGGGTAACCAATTGAGAATATGCTATTATAACGTTTCAAAATACAACTTCTCGCTTGGAGAGATTTTTCAACTCGTGAGATTTACCTAGTTTCCCAAATAAAATCACGTCGTTGGGTCCTTCTTTGAGATATGCGGTATCGCGCTCCCGTTTGCTGGTCGCGGGTTTGTCTTGTGATTTTATGAAAGCTTTGAACACAAGCTATGAAAACAGTTTAATTTTTTTTAAAAATAAAATGGTATCTCCCTTAGAGTTGAAGCATCTCACTACTTTAAAGTGGGGAAACTGGAAGGAGGTTTGTTTGAAGTTAATTTCACTGTCATATTGATGGTTTACCGGAACCACCTCGCCAATGACCACTTCCTAATCCATACAGGCTTACGGGTGTTTTACCACCACGACAGTGACCTTCTCATACCTTACCCAACACTCACACACACACACACACACACATACAGAGAGAGAGAGAGAGAGAGAGAGAGAGAGAGAGAGAGAGAGAGAGAGAGAGAGAGAGTGAGTGAGAGAGAGGGAGAAAATATTTATTACAAAATACAACAAAATTATATGCATTAAAATTATAATCAAATGTAAATCTAGTTTTTTTTAAATTAAAATGCCAAATTTTCATCCAGAATATATAAACTTAATTTTAAACTGTTAAAAAAAATATTCATTTCTCTACTCACATTTGTTTTACCTTGATAAATAAAGTAAAATTTCTGTAATTTTGCTTGGTCAAAGGGTGAGATTGAAAATGTGTACAGATCGAGTGATTATGTGTGAGATAAAGGTCCGAAAGTTCATTTAATTAAAGTCAAAGTTAAATCAAATAAATTTTGGATTTGGATTTACATAGGCTCAAATCCGCACATGTACGTATATACCTACAAACATGTGCCGAGTTAAGAATATTCTCTTCTCGTATCCACCGGCAATTCCAGCTTTTACTATTTACAGTAAACTTCCAGCAGACTCGAGAATCGCACATCCGCAAGTTGGAAGACCGGGCTTAAACCTCAGTCTTATCCGTCCAGCCACTGAGCCAACGACCCATTCGTACTAACGTTCATTCTTAACTACATTCACTTCTGTAAACAAAACATTTATTAAATTAGGGGAATAGAGTACCCGATTCATCATGCTATACTGATATTATTGTCCATAATTGAGGGTCGATGGGATACTTGATATTCCGCCATCAAACCTCTCACATCACACATGCGCGCTAATAAGTACATTCTTTCTCAACACAAAGTAGGCACACACCACTACTATTACAATACTACATACAATAGAACACCGGGGGGGGGGGCCAATGGTTTGGGCGTTGTCACGGCGCTCATAACTAAGATAAAGGTCCCGGGTTCAAATCCAGCGGCCCTGCATTCGAAACCGACATACTTACAAATAAGCTTTTTTTCAAAAACACTGGCACTTTGAAGGTTTATATGACCTCTGCTGTTGCGAACCTTCGTAAATAAAAAACCTAAGTGCTAGCTGCCGTGCTCAAACAAGATTCTCAGTGGCATTCCTGTCCGCCCTCTGTATGGTGGCAAGGAATTGCAAGGAATTAGATGGGACAATTCGGGCACGCCTCACTTTTCTTTGCATGCCAGTTACATACGCGGGCTTTGGCAAATTAATTGATTTAAAAAAGTTTATGAGTTTAACGGTACATTAAAAGCGCTAATTCCGAATGAAAAACAAGATAATGTTATATTTGTGGGAAAATTTTTACGGATAATGATCACAGCCTTCAATTTTAGTCACCTCAATGGAAGCTACATTGGAGGAGCTCATAATTCGTATAATTCTAAATTAAAGCCTCCAGGTTTATTTCGATTTTCATACACAATTTAAGCAAATATGATAAAAATTTTGTATAAAAGCTTTAGACATAGATGGTAATAGAATTTAAATAGTGCCCAACTCTGAGGAGGTGTATATCATTTTCTCAAAACGAATAAATGGAATAAGAATTCGTTTTGTAGGTTCGTACAGATCATTGTCCAAGAGTTTACGATCGTTAGCATATAATCTGACTCGTACTCAATTTTACAATGTTAAAATGTTTTTTTAAACAATAATTTGTTGAAATTTGTTACTAGAAATGGTATTTATTGTTATGATGTTATTGTATCGGTCTGAAAAATTTGAACATCCATTTCTTCCGGCAAAGTATCACGTTTTACTTTTTTTGTCAACCTGCGTCTGATGAAGATTACCAACAGGCTTCTAATGTGTGGATAAATTTCATAAAAAAATTTACGTGAATATTTAATCCTCTATCTTCAAACTGAAGTTTTAATATCAGTCAACGTTTTATTATCATCGATGTTTGCACGAGAATATTTAAATGAATGCTGCATATTGACGGCGCCAGGATTAGACTGGGATGCAGCGCTCAAACATACTGATGTTGGATTGAATTGCT